TTTTTATGTCATGACAGCCATGTGAAGTCATGGCTGACAATTTAAAGATTGTACACTTGTGTATAAGATGTACTTTGATAAAATAAAAATACACAAAACCTTTGTTTAAAGTATGTTTTCATTTCATATTTCTTTCAAGCATATTCTCTGTAAACCATATGTTGGAGATTATTATCTTAAAATACAAGGGGAGTAAATCTTTGTTAAATCTAAATAAGTTCTTGTATGAGTTGCTTCCCTTGCAGTGCATTATTTTATTTTCTATGTTTGGGACCAATGTTTTTACTTCTAAGCAGCATGGCTTAAAGTAGCTACATACATACATGCATTTAAACTTCACTGCTCTACTGTGTTTGTCATTATAAATTATTCATCTTCAATTACAAGTTATCCCACAAGAATTTAATTTTATTCTTCACCTACTGGAATAAACATCCCAGCAAATTTCAGTTGGACACTCAGTTTTTGTATTTTACTTTTAAAATCCCTTAAAATTCAGCTTGACTGTTCCAGTAGTAATTTTTTAAAGCCAATCAAATTAATTATGTAAGTTCAGCAGGACAAGGGTTATCGTAATAACCAAAGGTTGATATATAAAACTTCTAATAATCACATTCTTGCTCTATTATATTATGGAGTTACAAATAAAAAGAAAAGTTAAATGTATTGCATAGATGTATCAATATCAAGGAGCAAGTTCTGGTTTAAAAAGTATGCTTGCTTGCTATATTCCTCCATTATAATTTTCAGGAAGTCTTTTATTCAATGCTGTTACAGCCTTTAACAAACATTGCAGGTTATGTAATAATTTCATCTTCCAAATCAGTAAAAATATGAAGTTGCTTCTTAAAAATTGGACAAAATTTACTTATTTTTACAGATTTCTGCAAAACTATTTAAAACTTAAAATAATGTATGATATGTTAGGATTGCTTTACCATTATAATTTTTTGCTGTGGATGGAAAAAGTGATCTATTTAAATAATATTTCAAGTAGTGTTTAAGCTAAATGTTTTACCATGTGATGTACATTTTATCTTTTATAGTATTATTCTTAGAAATTAATGTACTTTATTGAAAGAAAAAAAATATTGGAATTATTGATTTGTGAACTTGTTTTGAAATAAAGATATTGTTTTACTTGAAGCAAAGTTTGTTGTTATTTTAGACATTCTACCACCACAATTTGCTCTCTCCCTTTCTGCTATACGATGGTAAAAGAACTGTCACACAAAAGTAAGGGTACAACCATCATAGGCAATATAAGAACTATTTTCTTGCATCAACAGCTTGGTGTGAAAGGGTCGTAACTCCTTTATCTAACATGTGTTACAACTCTTTCGCACCAAGCCTCCACATGTAGTAAGGAACTTTTGTGTTTAGCCTCCACTAAATTTCCCCCATTTTCTCACTATATTTCTATGTGTGAAGTGACTAGCTCCCTGCAACCAGCGACTTCTAAATAGACGGCTACATTTGTATTTGTGATCAATCTTTTTATCAAGCAAGCATATAATATTATGCTGCACTGTTGATATTTAGAGTCCAGTGAATTAACCCTTGAAATCATCACAGTTAACATTAAGTGTCAAGAAACATTGAAGACAAGTTAAATTTAAAGACGGAGGAGCTTAAAAATCTGGAGAAAAAAATCAAACCTGTACGTAATGGATTATCAGAAGTTTTTTCCCCAAATTTTAGTATGGGAGTCTGATTGGTATAATAAACCAATGTAAGTTCAAGATAAAAGAGTGGCTGCGGGGCCGAGACTGGTTAACACATCGAACTAGTAATCTAAGGATTGCTGACCGCGTGAGTTCAAATTCTATCAGGGGCAAGCCATTGTTTCCTTGAGCAAGAAACTTTACATTCATTGCTTAGTACTGGTTGGTTCCAGGAACGGATTCAAGAGTGTTTCAATAAGCTTATAGCTTCCAACACAATCGAACTAAAATAAATTTGTATAAACTAATCAAACATAAAAGAGTAATAAATGTATTTGTCAACACCAGGACAAGTTAAGAATATTTCATTAGTGTCAACAAAGTTTCGGTCAATACTTGATCTTCATCAGGACCAATGTTATTAATAAATGGGAGCAGAAATACTTAAAGATACATGTATCTTGAATATAGGATGATTTTTGGTGTTTCCCTTGTGATGTTGCTTGATTGTAAATTCAATATATTTTATTCACAATATTTATTTGTTGATTATTATGTTCACACAAATGGAACATACGGCTACATGTTTTACACATCTCAAATTTCATTTTTTTATTATAGAGTACTGCCAAAAATCTTTATTTATCACTAATTAATAGTAATTATGCATCTGCTATGACAACTGCTTGATAACATTTACATAATTATTATTTTTATAAAATTCAAGATAAAATTCAAGAAAAAGCCTTATCTATTATAACACTTTTTTTTAAATAGTCTATACTTCTTCTGGGTGTATCAGTTTTGACCCAAGCTGCATGACATAAAAATATCTGTACAGGTCAGCTAAAAGATGCTTCATGCATTGTAGTTTTCTGCAAGACTTAAATTGTGTGTTTTCCTATAGAAGTCTATTTGAACTAAGTAATCCCTAATGCAAGGCCAATTTTGACCCCAGAGACATGATCTATTTAACTTTTTGTAGAGAACAAGATGATGTGACATGCTCTTTCGGCTGTTATTTCATGACTTATATTTGTGTGACAAAAAAGTCCAAATAGACAAGTAGATGGTGGCATAGCTGAATGGTTAAACTAGTGACCTAAAAATTATTGGCTGCCTGGGCTCAAACCCTGTTACAGGGAAGTTGTTGTTTCCTTGACCAAGAAACTTTACATTTATTGCTTAGTGATGATTCCAGAAACAGATTTGAGGGTGCTTTAATAACCTTACAGCTCTCAACACAATCAAACTAAAACAAATTTTTATTCACTAAATAGACGAGTTGCCCCCAGTGAGGCCAATTTTGACCCTAGGGCGACAAAAGGCGATGCTACATGGTACAGGAGATTTCTAAAGATTTTATTTTTAAGGCCATTTGAGGCCTACTATGAATCAGACTAGAACTGTTGTTTAAAGACAATATGGATAATGATGACACATTGCTATGAGAAAAACCCTTTGTGCACTTTGTGCTTAAAGGAGCTTAATAATGTCACAAAAACTTTATTTCATTCATAAGGATACTTCTGTTTTGATATTTCTTGGTAAAAATAGCAAAAATACTCATCAAGTGTTAAAGGATAATCAGTTTTCATAAATTTTGTAAGTTTAAAGGAGCATAACTGCTACAAATATTACTTTTAGGACAATGCTTCTTGTATTACAATCATGCCTTGTCATGATTATCAAGTATACCAAGTTAAATGTTGGTAGCTTTGATACTTAACAACAAGCAAATATTCAAGTTAAAAAGGGGCATGAATACAATGTAACTCCAAAAATAAAGCTGTAAGAGTATTGACCCTTGTTTCACAAATATAGCTTGTCATTGTATTCCAAGCAATATGTTGATATATTTCATAGTTTTGAAATCATTCTACTTTATTAGCAATTTTGAAATAAATTCTAAGGAAAAAGGGCCATTACTCAATGAACATATACAGTTGACTCTCAATAAGTCAAAATCGCTTTACTCAAAATTCCGCGTTAGTCGAAGAATTTCTAAAGTCCCGTCAAATTTCCTTCTTTATCTTTGTATTTCAACTCCGCTTAGATCAAAGTTTGACTTATCGAGATTCCTGTTTAGTCGAAAAGAAAATACGGTCCCGTCAATTAAAGTCCAACATATTTTCATCTCAATTAGTCGAAGTGTGAAAACAACCGACTGATCAAAGTTCGGAGACATCAAGGTGAGATGTTGTCACTTGTGATTCACACGTTTCATAGTTATTCTAATTGCCGGTCATCATGTATTATTAACACGTCATTAAAGTGGCTTTAGTCGGTTTTACGATTTAATTGGTTTTAACAGTTAGATTACTAAATTAAGATTCAATTAATTCAATTGTAAAGAATCCAAAATCTGATCGAAAGTATCATTCACCAAATTGTCAAACGAAAGTTGACTCGTGCTAGTCTGACAGGTGTTAGTCAAATAAAGCCTAGGTATTGATGTGTGTTATCAACGTAAATGACATTTGTATAATTAATGTTCCATCATATTGCAAACATTATTATGTACTTTCAATTCACTTCAAAATTGAAATAAATGTTTAATTGTGCTTTTATTGTAATGAATTGTCATGGGTGCTTATTAAAAACATGTGCAAGGGTTATGTATTGCAGCATTGCAGCTATCAACAATAACAAGCCTACTTCTTTGCACATTCAATCAGGCACATGTATATACATGTACGAATGTCAACGTAATGGCGGCAGATCCACGTTACTCGAATTCCGTTTCTCTCGAAGTAAAATGCCCAGTCCCTTGGATTTCGAGTTACTGAGAGTCAACTGTATATCAGAATTATGCCCGTTGTCTTCTAGTTGCATCTTGTCATGAGGAGCACATATCCTAAGTTTCATGTTGGTAGCTTTAATTATTTGGAAATCATCCTACTCAATAGGCAAAGTAAGTTAAAAAGAAGCATAACTTTAAAGCTTTAGCTTGACTTTCTGTTCAAAACAGACAAGCTACAAAAAGGAATTAAAGTTGAGTGTTGGGGCGTCCGTGGCCGAGTGGTTAAGGTCGTTGACTTCAAACCACTTGCCCCTCACCGCTCTGGGTTCAAATCCCGACAGGGACTTTGGATTCTTTTATGTGAGGAAGCTATCCAGCTAGCTTACGGAACGTCGGTGGTTCTACTCAGGTGCCCGTTCGTGCCTGAAATAATGCACGGAGGGGCACCTGAGGTCTTCCTCCACCAGTAAAGCTGGAACGTCGCAATATGACCTATTCTGTGTCGATGTGACATAAAACCCAAAACAAACAAACACACAAAGTTGAGTCTTAAGTTTCTGATGAATACTGTCATGAATAATTTCAAAAGAAAATTTCTTTTCCTTCATTTTAAGTAATATTTTTAATTGTATAATTTATAGGAGTTATATGATGAATAGACTAACATGCTACTATCTATTGATTTCTTGTAACTGGTGTTTCTGTTAGTTTTACCCGTGCTGCAAAAAATCATCTGGTATTGATTAAGCCATCTGAAATGTCATTTTAGTCAATTTAAGAATGACTGCATTATAACAATAATGTCTTTAACCTAACTAGCTCCTGCAAATGTTTCACAGAGATGTAAATGTGAAAACAATGTTCCAAACATATTTTTACCATGTACCTGAATCACAGTTATTAGGGCTATTCCAGTACCAACAAGCACTTAGTTTACATAAAATCAAATTCTTTGGAAGAAGAAAACACATGAATATCCTATGAAAAGTTGCATACTTAAAATTTAATTCAAAAATAGAAAATATTTATGATAATATGAAACTGAAAGAAAACTCTAACAATATGACAGTTATAAATAAATTAATAAATAAAAACACATGTTTTGACAGAAATAAACTTAATAAACTAGATGTCAAAAAGGGAGATAATGACGCAACAAAAATGAGTCAAAACTGGAATGTACACTTATGTTTAACATGAACATACAAAAATGATCACATGACTGCAGTTTGAGATTTTACAGTCAGTTTTATCTGTCGAAGATCCTCGGAACTAAATTTTGGAGTAAGCACTACATTATCATAGTCAAAATCTTCATCTAGTTTGAATGGCTGGACAAGATCTGTGCTCTCTACCTGAAATATATTTACAATCAATAAAAACATGTTATCAACATTATTTTATAAAGTTTATATTCATTGTTTGTTAAACAAAAGGTAAAAATATTTTATATAGTGCATTATCTTATGGTGAAAGCAAAGTAGCAAGAAAGGGATATTGACATGTATTTTTGGGTGTTAAACTTTCCCGCTAAATATAATCCTATAATTTGATTTTTTTCTGTTCTTTTCTATAAACAGTTTATAATGGAATAAATTTTGATAAAACTGTGATACTTTGTGTGTATTTGAGTTTATTTATACTCGCCACCGGTTGCCCATATGGTCGAATCCTCCAGAAGAGTATTAGTTATTTTATTTTTTGGAGGATAGTGCAAGATACAGAAAGATGTCCCAATTCCGGAAGCTTCCCCTGGTTCTTTTACGTGCCAAGTGTTAAAGCACCCATACACGGGACCTCGATTTAAAGTCTCATCTGAAAGACTGATTAGTAATTTTAGTTGGCCAGCCTGGGAATCGAACCCACAATTTCGAGATTACAAGTCTTGCGCTCTAACCAATGTGGGCTGGCAAAAAAAAAACAAGAGCTGTCGGTAGGACAGCACGCTCGACTATTCTAAGTGCTTGATAGTAAAAGAGCCTTGATAATCTTAAATTTTTTAAGTTCACAAAAGGGCTATTTTTTTTTTATAAATTCATGTTATAGGCCTTAGAGAGAGTCTAATTATACAGTATTGGCTTGACTATTCGGAAGGTAATGTCACAAGGGTGTTTTATTGAGTATAATAATACTAATTACCTATCAATACATAAATTTGACAGAAAAGGTACAAAGGCTTGTTATTAAGATGTTTTATCAAGTAAATCACTGCTGTATTATTATGAATGCATAAAATTGTCCCAAAAAAGGCACAAACCCTTCAGTAGTTATTGAGATAACAGCTTACAAGCAAAACTTTACCATGAATTTCTAAGTTGAACAAGTCAAGGGTGCCATAGTCACAAAATACGCCCGTTTACGAAAGCTTTAGATGGAGAAGGGGGCATTATGGATAAGTGTTATCTAGCAAGCAAGTTTTTATCCTTGGCACTGTGTTATTAAATGAACCTTAAAACAAATCAGTAGGGAAGATATGCACAGGATGTGTGACCTTGACCTTGGTCGCAGGGACCTGAATTTTATGCACGGCACTCAGCCTCACAATGATGAACATTTGTGCCAAGTTATATTGAAATCCCTCAATGCATTTTCAAACGGGCGTATAAAAAGTACATGTAATTGTAATTTAATAACTAAAAAATTCTGATTTAAGATTTTATTCTAGGGAAATACATTTCATTACAATTCTTAATCTTTGAATGAGCTGAACTGATATTTACTTGAAAATAAAAATATAATTAAACTTCTATGAGAAAGTATTTACATTTGATAAGGTAATTACTGTATGATCTTTATGAACAAATACCAAGTCTACAGAACACCATAGTTATCACAGTTAAGAATCTTGACCAATGAATGAAACATGTGTAAATAAATGTTACATTCTTTAGAACATACTCAAGTCCAAGAAAGAGGATTATTTTATGCCCTTTGATTAAATTCTATTTTTAGAATTGAAAGTGAAAGTAGATCAAGGGGAGTAATTGTGTAAGTCATTATAGACAAAGTAATAACTTTGTTGTCGCCCTTTGATTAAATTCTATTTACAAAATCTGGATATTTCATCATCTTTAGTGACCTTGACCTTGTATATATTGACCTAAATTATATGTATCACAGCCATAGTCTTGATAATGACCATTTGTGTTACAATCCCTCAATAAATGATGACTAAATGGTCCATATACACATCTTCAAATTTTTATCTGAACTTTGACCTCTATGTGTGACCTTGACCTTGGCCGCAAGGACCTGAATCTTGCACGCAACACTCCGCCTCACAATGGTGAACATTTGTGCCAAGTAATATTGAAATCCCTCTATACAAGTGGAAGTTTTGCTCCGGACAAGCATTTTTCAATGAGCTCTAAGTGTGACCTTGACCTTTGACCTAGAGACCTGGTTTATGTGCGCAACACTGCTCCTCATAGTGGTGAACATTTCTATGAAGTTTCATTAAAATCCCTCCATACATGTAGGAGATATGCTCCGGACAAAATTGGACGACGCCCGCCCGCCAGGGGCGTTCCCATAATACGTCCCGTTTTTCAAACGGACGTATAAAAAGGGGAGAAAAATCAGCCTAAATGCAAGATTGAGTTATGGAACTTTGTCAGTGACCTACAATTATGACCCTAAATGCATATGTGAAGTTTTAAATATATATCTTTAATAGTTATTGAGATATGTAAAACTTGCATGTAAACATTAACCAAGAGACTAAGTAGAAAATGGGATATGAATCAGCCTTAATGCAAGATAGAGTTATGGAACTTGGTCAGTGACATACAATTATGACCCTCCAATTATGACCCTAAGTGCATGTGTAAAGTTTCAAGTAAATATCTTTGAAGACCTTAAACCTTTAACCAAAATTTCTAAGTTTCAAAGGGGCAAATAATTCTGCAAATATTGCAGGCAGAGTTATGCAATTTTGCAAACTGATGTACATTGTTACTATAAAAAAGTATTTTAAATTTCAATTGAATATCTCAAGCAATAATTGAGATATTTGACTTTACAAAAAAACTTTAACCAAAATTTCTAAGTTCCAAAGGGGCATAATTCTGTCAATATTGTAGTCAGAGTTATCCAACTTGTCAATCTGATGTACCTTGTTACTATAAATAAGTATTGTAAGTTTCAATTGAATATCTCAAGCAATAATTGAGATATTTGACTTTACAAAAAACTTTAACCAAAATTTCTAAGTTAAAAAGGGGCATAATTCTGTCAATATTGTAGGCAGAGTTATCCAACTTGTCAATCTGATGTACTTTGTTACTATAAATAAGTATTGTAAGTTTCAATTGAATATCTCAAGCAATAATTGAGATATTTGACTTTACAAAAAACTTTAACCAAAATTTCTAAGTTAAAAAGGGGCATAATTCTGTCAATATTGTAGGCAGAGTTATCAAACTTGTCAATCAGATGTACCTTGTTACTATAAATAAGTATTGTAAGTTTCAATTGAATATCTCAAGCAATAATTGAGATATTTGACTTTACAAAAAACTTTAACCAAAATTTCTAAGTTAAAAAGGGGCATAATTCTGTCAATATTGTAGGCAGAGTTATCAAACTTGTCAATCAGATGTACCTTGTTACTATAAATAAGTATTGTAAGTTTCAATTGAATATCTCAAGTAATAACTGAGATATTTGACTTTACAAAAAACTTTAACCAACGCAGACGCCGACGCGGACGCTGAAGCCGACGCCGGGGCGACTACAATAGCTCTCATATTCTTCGAATAGTCGAGCTAAAAATGATACTGCAAAAATTATTGTTTATATACCAAGACTAAAGGCCTCCTTAATCCTATTGGCTGAAAATTTGAATTCAAAACTGTTTAATGTCAAAAATTTACATACTAAAATCAAAATCTATTTCCTTTGAATACAAATGTAATCAATGTTATTAAGTAAGTATAGCTTTACTTTTCTTATTTCAAAATTTAAAATAGTTTGTAACAGTGAAAAGAAAAAATATATATCTTAAGTAAAATTTGACAGCATAATAGTAGCATTTTTTGCTAGACTGTAATAGTGTTTTATGTATTTATTACATCAACATTAAACATTATAAAGTAATTAGATCACCAAATGGTTTGTAGAATTAGTTAATTTACACCTGTTTAATTACTCATTTTGATCGGATAAAATTGGCATACTTATATTATTTATTGTGAAATCAGAAAGAAATTTAAAGCTACATTAAATAAAATATGTTAACATATTTTTCTGTCAGCTTACAAACCAAGCATTCTATAGGCTTGTTTACATTTTAAACAGTATTGTTGTAAATCTCATTAAAATTTGTCCTTAAGTTATGATTTTAAAAGGAAAACCTCACGGTAACACAAAAGTTCGTATACGAATTTTAACATGCAAATGAAGACTTGTATAATTAGCTTGTGTATGTGCTATGTCACAATAGTCAAAATCAATTGTAACCATGTGGATCACAGCAAATATTAGATCTTCTTGTGCAAACAAACTTTTACTGTTTTAGTTTCACAGTGCATAATAGCCCTGTCGTTTACAAAAAAGAAAGTAATCATTTTAGAAAAACATTGAATTTGTATGAAAACATCCGTTATACATTATAATGCGGAAATATACCATTAAATTCTGAATTAAATTAAATTAAATGCTTGTTGATTTTCTATTGATGTACAGATGACCTAAAGGCAGAGATTCTCATGCAAATAGAAATTGTACTACCGATTTCGCCACAATAAGGTTGTAGATTATGGCTTATAAAACTCATTTTGGTTGTCTGGACACCAAAATATGAACAGGAGTCAATATGAAACATATTTATTTAATGAAATGAAGCTATTGCTTTTTTTTAATGAAATTCATCAAATGTAGCTTTAAATATTCTTGTTGCCATATAGGTCAATTACCTGTATTACCTGTATGTCAGAGTTCACTGATGATTCTCTGAAAGTTGCCTTAAAGTCCAGTAATCTGTCATTCTCAACACCAGGTTCATCATTTCTCTCTTCTACTTGACCAGGAAACACAAGTTTATCAAAATCAACTGCCCCATGTTCTTCTATACATGTGTTTTCATTTGCCTTCACAATCTGCACATTACCTTCAGAATCTCGTAAACTGCTCCTGTATATATCATCTAATCTTGCTTTCACCTTTTGATCTGGTACTTTCATTGTCTTAAAATCCTCTTCAGTTATTTTCACTTTAACATCATTAGTCTCTGAGTCATCACACAATAAATCAATAGCATCATTATCATCATCATCACTGTTAAAATTTACATCTTCAGATTCTGTACTAGCTTCTTTCACCTCTGGAGTATGCTGTTTTTTAGGTTCTTTATTTTTATGTAAGAAGTTTTCTATGTCCATTTCAGAACTTGCAGCTTCTAATTGTGATGTATTGCCAGGTGTCTGCTCATTTTTTTCATTTTGTAAATCAGCAAGAAAATTTAATAATAATTTATCAGTTGAATTTTCATCTAAAGACAAGTGTGTATTGAGCATGTCTGTGACATCACCATCATCATTGAAACTGTTTGAACTAGCTTGGACTGTTTGAACTGTTTCAGGAACAATATTAACCATTTCTCTGGCAGCACTGTTTCTAGTGGAGATTCCTGCAGTATATTATATTCTAACAATATTTTTTATCAAATTAACATTGCATGTATGTTTTTGGTGACAAGAATACATTAAAACATTATAAAATAACTACAATGTAATAAGTTAGATTGAGTCACAGAAAATCTCAAACAAATTCTAAAATTTGACCTTCAAAATCATGTTTATGAGTCAAGTTCAGTGTGACGTTAAATGGAATATCTTGTCATAAAGGTTGTTGTGCCTAGTATGTAGCCAATCCAGTCAAAAATTGCAATCCATCAAAATCTAAAGTTTTTTACCTTGAATGTCAAGATTAATTATGGATCAAGTTCAATTTCAGTGTGATTTAATTGAAGATTCATTCATAGGGTTGTTGTAAATGCAGATAATCCATGAATTCAAACAATTAAGACCAAAGTTAAAGTTTGCAAATGGCAACATGAATGACACCATGATTCTTACATATCAGACAGGATAACCGTTAACACCAGTGCTAGAAAAATCTGTCTTATACTCACCCCCCCCCATGTAACACAAGTTGCATGCTTTAAATGACCTCATTGCCCTGAGTTTTTTATGAATGAATTGCTTTCTTGGGATGACATCATTTAACCATTATGAATGTAGTTTTAAGTTCATACGCTACTATAAGAAAATTGCTCTCTGGTAAAATAGTGCTCTCGGGTTACTGTTTAGCTGTAACTTGGCAGAGCCTCGTTACCGGCGTAAACAGTTACCCTCTGAGCTAAATATTCCGGTCTGTACCAGCTGCCAGTGTAAGTTTCTTATAATGCAGCACTAGGTCAATTTTTTAAAATGTTATTTAAAAAAAAAACGAACTCAAGATAATAAGTCAGATAGCTTATACAAATGCTTAACATTTCTTCAATCATATCTTTTCTTAAAAATATAAATCAAAATAAAAAATGTGCAATTAAGATGTTAACAAAACTTTTTTTATATAACTTTAATTTGAAGGCATTATAAATATGATTTTCACTGCATGAGAAAACAAGATTATTATACCTGAACTGAAACTGGCTGAATAACTTTGTGTAGACATATCTTCAATGTCATCAATATCATCTTCATCACCATCGGCAACAGGATCAACAAAATTGTCAAACTAAATAAAAACAAAAATTTCATTTGCATTCAATCAATCTCTGATAAGTTTAAATGAAATACAACTAGAAATGTGTCCATAGGACACGGATGCCCCCACACGCCACTGTTCTGTCAATCTTATGACTCTAGGTCAAATATTTTTTTGGACTACATGTGCCACAAGTTGAAAACTAAAAATCAACAAAGGACCATAATTCTGGTAAATTTGGTCGCAGAAAAAATTCCTTCCTTTACTACCATCTACACATGAAGGTTGTTCATCCCTGGAAGTTTAAGCAAAATCTGCCATCCGGTTTAAGAGGAGTTGCATTCACAAAATTTCTGCACAGTATATAGTGAAAAAATCAACAAAGGGCCATAATTCTATTAAATTTGGTCGCAGCAAAAATTCCTCCTTTACTACCATCTATACATTAAGGTTTATTATCCCTGGAAGTTTAAGCAAAATCTGCCATCCGGTTTAAGAGGAGTTGCGTTCACAAAATTTCTGCATAGTATATAGTGAAAAAATCAACAAAGGGCCATAATTCTGTTAAATTTGGTCGCAGCAAAAATTCCTCCCTTTACTGCCATCTATACATTAAGGTTGTGCATCCCTGGAAGTTTAAGCAAAATCTGCCATCCGGTTTAAGAGGAGTTGCGTTCACAAAATTTCTACATAGTAATAGTGAAAAAATCAACAAAGGGCCATAATTCTGTTAAATTTGATCGCAGCAAACATTCCTCCTTTACTACCATCTATACATTAAGGTTTATTATCCCTGGAAGTTTAAGCAAAATCTGCCATCCGGTTTAAGAGGAGTTGCGTTCACAAAATTTCTACATAGTATATAGTGAAAAAATCAACAAAGGGCCATAATTCTGTTAAATTTGGTCGCAGCAAAAATTCCTCCCTTTACTACCATCTACACATTAAGGTTTATCATCCCTGTAAGTTTAAGCAAAATCTGCCATCCGGTTTAAGAGGAGTTGCGTTCACAAAATTTCTACATTGTATATAGTGAAAAAATCAACAAAGGGCCATAATTCTGTTAAATTTGGTCGCAGCAAAAATTCCTTCCTTTACTACCATCTACACATTAAGATTGTTCATCCCTGTAAGTTTAAGCAAAATCTGCCATCCGGTTTAAGAGGAGTTGCGTTCACAAGATATCGGGACGTACGGACAGACGGACGGACGGACGGACGGACAGACGTACGGACACTCGGACGGACAAGTGCAACGCTATATGCTCCCACTCTGTGGGGGCATAAAAATCTTATTAACCATCAGAGCTTGGTGATAGTATGGGGTCAGATTTCTTGTCTATTTGTTGCAGAATTTAATTTTTGTATGGGTTCTTAGTCATGCTTCCATGGTTGATTTTTACAGCTTTACTAGTGGAGGAAGACCTCGTAGGCTCCACTGTGCATTATATCAGGAACTAGCTTGCACCTTGCACAGAGGTACCAATTGCTGAAGTAAGCAATTTATTTTTAAAAAAACAACAACAACAAAAGATAAAACCAGCAGCACCTAAAGTGACAAGATTAAAATAGATGCCTAAATTCAGAATTGCACCAAACAGAGGAATAAAACATAGAAACAAGTAAAAGAAATCACACAAAAAAACACTTGGATATTCAACATTCTTGAACTGGCATTTCCATTTAAAGTGGCAGCACAAATGAACTCATACAAATGTTCACTTGAAACAATTTCAGGCATTTTTAGTAAACAAATTAAGTATGAGCAGGTATTAAAAAAAACAATGTTAAGAACAACTGCACTTCTTGACTTTGTCTATCTAACTTCAGATAATGACCTCAAACTCAACAGTATGATACAAGAACAGATTCAGTATTTCCATATAAACCTACACAACAAATTTATGGTCAGTGTGTGAATTTAGAATTGGTTCATGTTGTCAGGCCTAGTATTTAAAGTGACATGATGCCCATCTAAGGGCCTATAATGAGAGAACAGGTGAAAGTCAAAATTAGTTTCATTATGCTATAATTACCTTTCAATTTTATAATTGACTTCGCATGAACGATAAATAACTCACATGGCACAAAAGGCAATTTCAATAAATATCCATTGGATACGGGGCAGCCTTTATATTTTAGGCAGATTTATATTTAATCCTTAACATTTTCCAGTATCAACTGCTGGTCAATCATATTATAACAGTCAATGTTTTGAAATTTTAAAAGAAATTTACAGTCAATTTAGTTCAACTTGACACTGAAAAAATAATGAGCATAATGTCACTTCAATCATAATACTATCAACAAGACTTTTAGTCCAATGTAAAGTAAATACATTTGTTACTCCTCATACACTGTTTTTGTGTAAAGCAAGGTCACATCGTAGAACTATTTTCAATTGTTCTAATTCCAAGATGATTCATGAAAATAATTGGTGAGGGGTTTCAAATGCATTTAAAATTATTTGTTGGCAAAGTTCCAATTTTAAAAGTAGTAACAATTTTGTCAAAGTTACCATGATATTAGTTCCATTTTTTATTTTCCATACATGCACCTATATCTGAGTAGAAACCCACAAAATTGGATCTCCACTAATTCTTAATTCTCAGTAAACCTGAATCTTTGTTACTCCGGAAATTTTGTCAAGTCCTGACCATGTCCGGTTTAGTGAGTTTATTACTGTATTTGTTTTACTCTTTACATATTGTTCCAAATTACTTGCTTGTTTACATAATTATACAATTAAACTACATTAAAATTACTGAAATTGAAGTAAAACTGAGAAGTTAGATCACAGTATGGTATAAAGTTACCTTGACCAATGAGCCTGTTTTGATGACTTTTGTCTTGTTTATTCTACTAGTTGTGTCCCCTTCACATAAAATCTGTAAAATAATAAACTTCATAAAAAGATCCAGGCATAATGATACTAGCATATTTAAATATTTTCTTACATTGATTACAGTAAAATTAAAAGCAAATAAAAGACATAAATTTACAAAAATTTTGGCACCAAACATCATGAAACATGCTTCAAGAATGATATACTTTTTTTTAAAATGAGATATTGAAAGTTATCAATGAGAGATGTATATTTGTCATATCATACTGTTTGAAACTGAATGGTTTCTATTTAAAACATTCATAGATATGACAAAGACTTTTGTGATTTAATTAATTGACATTAAGAACATCATTTTCATTAGTGTCTTGGTAACATATGACTGGTTTAATAGAAAACTATTTTATTCAATGCAAAGTAGAAAGAAAGTTTGTAGTGAATACAGACTATATTTCACTCCAAAGTGAGAATCTGTATTACATGTATATTTACACTTGCATTTTGTGTTCTTGAAAATATCTATAAAATTCCCACTTCTACGGAGATATAGAATATATTCAAATATTTCAAATTTATATCCTTATTTACTGCATTGTAATATAAAATTGGACAACAGCCCTCTATTGGCCTGTTGAATTGTTGCTATTGCATGGTACAGTCTAACTTGCCCATGCAACATGTGTATTAAGCGACTTTTGTCTTAAACGACCACTTTAAAATTTCCCCCGATCATTTTCTCTCTATATTTTTAATGTATTAAGCGACTTTTGCTCAACGCGACCAGCGACCGCTTATTAGTCACCTAATTGAGAGCAATCATTTTATTAACAGAGACCACTTTCACTTGTGAAATAATTGTATTTTTAGAGAACGCCGCCTCGTAATGTCACAAAGTGTCAACAATCAAAACACAACAAATAAACGTGTGAAAAACTCTATTTCCCAAACCGTTTAAGCGTTAGCAAATGAAGTTAAGTACAACGCGTGACATGTATTATCAATAATATCGAATAAAGAATGCAACGCTCCTCACCTACTGATGTGGTGGTATACGCTTCGCTTGTTGACAATTTAGACTGCATTGAATTGACCTTGAACCTGATCAGCAATTAAATTAGATGAAGTTTGTTTATTTGGAATGAAAAAATGCAACAAAAGAAAAAACACCTTTACTAATAGGGTTTTCGTGTTGGAGACAAGGAAAAAAAACGGAGAAGTTAAAAAATTCTGGGAAAAAATGTCAACATGTACTTAATGGATCAAAACTGTTTTTGTCAATAAATATCTAAAAGTTATTTTTTACATTGGCATCAATTTAGATAATCGAGCCTACTAATTATTCAACATTTATATAAAAAATTAAGTTGTAAAACATTCCCACCGCATAAGAAAGATGTCATTGGTAAATTTTGACTTTTATGTCATGCTTTGTCTTAAGAGACCGTTTCATTAAGCAAAACCGTTTTGTGTGTTTCCCTTGCGCGGTCGCTTAATACACGTTTGACTGTATATGTAGTTTTATAAAATGACATTTTACCTCTTCTTCGATATCTTGTGATTCTGGTACCTTGACAGGTGAGTCTTTAATTCTTGCCTTTGATTCACTCACTAGATCGGGTGCATTTTCATTGTTTTTCAACAGTCTAGTTTTGTTTCTTTTATCTGAACTTTTATCAACTTGCTCTTTCTTGACAACTTGTTTCTCCTGCATACCTAAAATAGATATTTATATGCACAGAGCATACCTGACAGACCAAGATTCATATAAATTCAAAGACATTCATAGAATGAACCTGAATTAGACATTCATATGCTCAAAACAAACCTGAAATAGATGTTCATTTGCAATAAATTTTGAAGTGTCAAGCAGCTCGGTAATCGTCTACGCTCCTCCTATTTCAAAGCGATTTGTTATATATACACAAAACAAACCTGAAATAGACATTCATATGCACAAAACAAACCTTAATTAGACATATATATGCACAAAACAAACCTTAATTAGACATATATATGCACAAAACAAACCTGAAATAGACATGCATGTGCACAGAACAACTTAATAATGTAATCATAGTTTTTTTTACCAAAATTAACAGAAAATACCCATTTTTCAAAACATGCAGTCTGAATTCATAGTCTGGCTGTTGTTGCTACTTATGCCTTTTTCTGTTCTAATATACATGACTCAAAAATGAACCGGAAATTCAGAAAGAGGTACATAGGTACAGTATAAATAAATACATGTAGCAAAAATCAGATATTGAATGATATATGAATAAAATAAGCCATAGACAATTAATTTTTAATCACTACCTTTAACTAACTCACCAACATTGGTTTATCAGAAGATAAAAACTGAAAACCTATTTAAATTCTTGATTCAGGGAAACTGTACAGAAATTCTTTATACATTTAATTGATACAGTAAAGAAGAACATTAAAATATGGTTACACTTATGCTTAAAATGGAAAACTATATTTATAATTATATCTATTTTATTATAATTCATATTTTATGGGTTAATAGGGTAAAAAAATGTTTGAATATAGAGATAATGTAAGCATTAATGTCTAATGGATTATAAGAAGGGGGTGGCTGTGGCCAAATACTGTAGATAAGGTTGTTGACTTTAAACCACTCAACCTTCACAGCTGTAGGTTCAAATCCAGCTAGGGTCTTTGGATCTCTTTCATATGAGGAAGCTATCCAATTAGCTTTCAGAAGGTTGGTGATTCTACTCAGGTGCCCTCTAGTGCCTGAAAAAATGCACAGAGGGACACCTGAGATCTTTCTAAACCAGTAAAGCTGGAAAGTTGCCACATGATCCTTACAGAGTTAGTGTGATAAAACAAACATAATCACAACAATACCTGTTTTAAGGAAAGTAAAGCTGTTTAGAAAGTCCTCATAACTTTGCACAGAATTTCCCATGACCTTATCAAGGGCACTGTACATGGTATCATCTCTATTGTTTTTCCTGTTGTCTTCTGAAGGTGTTGGAGATGGTGTGCCTGTTGCCATGGTTACTTCTGTATAACAGATATACATGTATTGTAATTATATGATTAAATTGATATCAAAGCATAAAGTTAGTTTTGGTATTCAGATATATGTCCCAACATAACAATTGTTTACAGTTTCATTATTCAATTTGATATGTGCCAGTCATTTAATGATTTATTTTCATCAGTTTTTGTAAAGCAAAGTCACATCTGTCATCTTGCCAGTTGAGTAATAAGTGTCCTTTTGTCCACCTCCGCCTTAGAATGAATCAAAGCCATAAATAAATGATAAATTTATAACAATTTAAGCTTAATATCTAAAATTTTACTGGGAAGTCCAAGGCCGGGACAGTGAACTGGGCCCAGGCTTTGGCTTGCCAAGCTATAGACTACACGTGTACAGTTAAAAGAAAATCGAAGAACAATTAAAGAATATAAATTATAGACTTCTATACATATCAATGAAATTTTCAGTGTCAATTCTAGTCTGGTGCCGTCATTTTCAATGTAACTCAATTCTAGTCTGGTGCCGTCATTTTCAATGTAACTCAATGATAATAGGCTGGGTATTCCGATAACGAATTTTTCGTATTATCCACTAATAATAAGCGTGGAGTATTCTGAGTGAAAACAGAAGCAGTGCATAACACACAGAAAGACACCTTTAAAACAGAAGAATAAATGAGCCGAGACATTACAAAACCAACATAATGGGTTTGCGACCAGCATGGATCCAGACCAGCCTGCGCATCCGGCAGTCTGATCAGGATCCATGCTGTTCGTTACCAGTTTCTCTTCTTGTAATAGGGTTTGTAAGCAAACAGCATGGATCCTGATCAGACTGCACGGATGCGCAGGCTGGTCTGGATCCATGCTGGTCGCAAACACATTATGTTGGTTTTGTCATGACACGGCTCAAATGATTTATTTTTAACCCTCTTCCTTTTTCATATAGGCTTAGCCTTATCTCATATATTTGGTGTGTTCCTCTTTCAATCTAGATGAAACAATTTATCATTTATACAGAATACAATATTGATAATAATTTTTACACCACCATGAGCTGTTTTTTTAATGGAAAATATATAACATTCCAAAATATTTACTTGGTCCGAACTTGTTTGAGTACGAACTAAGCAATTTTCAACACTTAAAACATTACGTAGGAAAATATTGGATTAATCTTTACTCTGTCACACAATTTAATTTATCATTTCACCTGATTGTACAATATTCTTTGAGACAATCTTTTAAAAACGTTTATCTCACAAAGTATAAAATATGCAATTTAATTATAAACTATTCAGTATGGAATGTCACTGGGCAGCCATGTTGTTTACATACGAAGGATAGCTATTTTTCGTAAAATTTATGTTGAAAGGGCCTGGCTGGGATAAATAGGATAAAAAATACTAAGCTGATTTCTGGTATATATGTCTACAAGATATTTGATCTTGTATTTAAATCATTACATTCTTACTGTTGTATTTGACACCGATAACATAAACACAGATCTATTAAGTATCTGAGTAAAGAACTATCCTTAAACAATCTCTTTTCGGCCGAATATCCGAGGTTTGGCGGAAAATGCCGAGAAGCAACAATCGCGTTGCGGGATACGTATCCGTAGACCCACGCATAGGGGTACGGCACATGGGGGTGAATTTTTTTTTATAGATATTTATAGATCTATATCCACATTTAAAAAGATTTGCAGAAAAAAAAACGAAAAAAAAAAAAACCAAAAAAACAACCAACAATTGGCTTAATAAAAAATTGTTCCATATGTGCCTTAATTACCCCTATAAGTCAGTTTTCATTGACGCGCCTATGATATAACGCTAATATTTAGCGCGTATTTACACTTTGTATGTTTAACGCTAATGACGTCACGTCAAAATATATGCACGGTCATGCAATACCATTTTTACGGAGTCACAAAATCGGCACGGGTGTGTGATAAATATATGGTGCATTTAGATCTAGCTATTTTTTAAAGAACATAAATTTAATTGTATCAGAAAACCTTGATTTCAATAAAATAAATATTCGTAGAGTCCCTAATTTCCGAATCATTACCGTTACATTGTAAAAAAAAAAAAATGCTGGTTGAGCAAGCCAACTGTCGTGTATGAATTTTTTTCAAGTTTCAACGCGCGAAAATTTCAAAAATGGAGGTTGAGAATATAATCGTTAGTTACCAGTTGCCTCTGCGTACTAAATTGTTTCCTTTATCATTACCGTAGAGTACAATACCTTAAAATTGTCTATATCATATATTTTCATGTCGGCTTTGGCAGCTGTAAAAAGTTTCCCCGTACTTCATTTCAGTGTTGTTATATCTTTCTGTTCTTTCGGGATAATTGATTCCAACACTTTAAGTGTTGAGAATTGAGTATCGCTCAAGTCGGTGCTAGGGCGTGAGGGATGTTGCACATTTTCATTATCTATCGTCAGGGACATTCATAACATCTATGTCTCTGCTATCAAGTACAGACTCAATCAAACCGAGCCTGCAATTTTCATGTAATTTTGTTGTGACTAATGCTTCCGAGGGATCACTTTTTTTCCAGATTTTTTTTTCATGCAAAATATCTGTCAGGAAAATAACAAAATTTCTTACAGTTCATTTTGTGAATTACTTCCTTTCTGGACAATAAATCTTAGGGAAAAAGACAGACAGGCATGTATGTGTAAAATACACCATGTGCAATATTGCACTGAAGTTGCAAACAACACGTTTCTTGCATGTCAGACAGGATTATCTACCGTTTACACCGGTGTAAGACAATACGCGTGTTTTAAATGACGTCATTGCCCCGCGCCTTTTATGAATAAAATTGCGTTCTTAGGATGACGTCATTTTAGCGTTAAGATCATACGCTACTATAAGAAAAAAGTGCGAAAATGAGAATATCAGATTTCGTAATTTTTGTTTTGAAAATAACTGATATGTAATATGCAAGAAAAAGAATCAAACACTGGCTGCCGGTACAGACTTAAATATCTAGCAACAACAACAACAACAACAACAATTACTTTTATTAATATCAGATTACAGACATGTAATAACATGATTCATTTTGTTTAATATTGAAATATGGGTAAATAGATGGGGACAGATAAATACAAAGTTAATAAGTAAATAACATGTCAATCAATTTAACACAATATTTAAAACTATGTAGACCTTGTTAATATCATTATCTGTAATTTAAATGGTAAATAGGCACGTTGGGAGAATTGGGGTACGCACGGGTAAAGCGTGATAAGAAAACAAAATAATGTTACGAGAATTGGATCACGTGAAAATCGTGATCAGGAAAGGTATTTCATTGACTAGTGGATATGTTGGGAGAATTATACCACGAGAAAAACATAGTGGAAAACGTATGTCATTGTCTGGGATATTTTAGAAACGGTAACAATAGTTAGACCACAGCTGTTTTCTCTCGGCCAATCAGAGAGGCTAAAAAGTGTTTGATAAATCCCACACATCACAGTAAAGTGTTTGATATAACTATCATGTTTGTATTCAACTGAAAGGAAAAACCCGTTATATGCACGCTTTATGCGGGGGAAATTCTATCTATATTGTAAAGTAAATAGTGTAATTCCCTTCTTAAAAACAAACAGATAGCAAAAGTCCTTTGACCAATTTATTTCGACATTTCATTATTTTACAAGAATAAATACTGTATTTGTAAATAAGAAAAAAACTATCAATAATGAAGTGAAATGCGTTCATCAATCTATTTAAATCTATATTTGTATCTAAATTTTACTACCGCTTTTGTGCTAATATTTTGAAGCACTGTGATTTCAATAATTGCATCCTGAATTATGCCCGGCTCACTCTTAATAGCAGACAGTCAGAGAGGCTAAAATATCCCTATGTAATTGTCGGATGTACATTCATTTACTGGTTTTGGAAGAGGGGATTCCACTGGTGGGCAAGGGGGTGGTGACTGGGCTGCGGGAAATGCTATACTTTAAGGCTTCAGAAACACATTTGTAATATTTTTTAAGTTCATGAATGAGGTAAAAAGTCAATGCAGGATGTATATAAAGCATACAATAAATAAACGAATCTATACGTCAAGTAAAATATTTTCAACTTCAGCCGAACATTACCAATAAATATCCTGAGCCCTAGGGTTCTTTAAAGGGATACTCAGGTAAATTTATGGCAAAAATATCAAATTTATCTTTTGTACTCGAATCACGCTAAAATGACATTTTTAAAAGTCCCATGAAGATTTTCTATAAATATTCTACATGTGTATATTTTAGGTTTGAAGCGTACAAATATCTATATATGTTGAAAGAAATTTAGACGCTGGCAGAATCACCGAATAGTTTTTAAACTAGTTATGTGACTTGAACAAACCATGGAAGTTACAATTACATATATTGTAGATGTAGTATTATTGAATCAAACCTAAATCATTCATTTGACATGTTCTTTAACCTTTCCAGATATCACTGTGACAATTATTGTGAAATCTTAACGCTCTAACCTGATCCGCGTGGGTCAGGTTAGGAAACCACCATTTTATTCTTTACAAGGAGAAATGTTTTGTTCCTGTGACTGCCTAGTGTATTCATTTTGAGGACATTTACATATAAATGAAAAAAAATCAAAACGAAGAAATGAAAATTATGCCTGTGTATCCCTGTGCATTAAGGAAAATATTTAATGAAAGTTACCTGCCAGTTTCTCCAACGAGCCCACTCTTGTTAACAGGCCATCGCCCATGATTTCTGTCTTAGAGCATTTTTCGGTAAGCAGTCATGCTTTTTGACTTCTTTTTCAAGCACTTATGTCATTAAATCATTTAAATGAGGAATCAACAGGAATAACAACAAAATCTCTCAAGGTGCGAAATCGTAAAGTTATCACATTCAGAAATGTTAAATTCTTCCTGACTGCACCTTTTGTGATAGAAATTTAAAATGGAATGTGAAATCTATCATTCATAAGAGTGTGTATTCAGTAACTTATAAAAGAACATGAATAATGCTATTTTCTCGTGCATTTTTTTAGCCTACAATAAGGCCAAATAGATTGAATAAGAAATATTTGGATATCCCTATGTAATTGTCGGAGAAAAAAACATTTACGCATGTTTAATCTTCACCATAAACAGAGAAAACTACCTGTGGTCTAAGTCAGATAGATCGCTCGTACCAGTTGGATGTGAGATTTATCAACTCGCTTCGCTCGTTGATAAATCTCACATCCAACTGGTACTCATGATCTATCCTATACATATTACATGCTACATGGTATTTAAGTGATAGAGAAAATAAATAAACATCAAATGACAATAGTAAATAAGTACGAACGATAGTGAACTGTATTATCAAAAATAAATAACAAAAAAACCGTCTGCTTGAGATTACAACGGCGAAAACAAACATGGATTTAAACATGCATATGATACCTGGGTAAGTCACTGAATAATAATATTCTCTAGGGACAAGTATTTCGGAAAAAAATTATTATCAAGTGTAAGAAAGTACTCAGATTATTAAGGACCACTAATGATTCTGCGGACATAAGTTCCCTAAATTTGATTACATTTGTCCTATTATAGAACCTTCTCGGAATATATTTCATTCTTTCATCAGCAAACAGCACTTACCCATGATATGAGCAAAACAAAAGATGTTAATGAACTCTTTAAAACTAGATAGTGTTTGACGACGGAAGTTTCAAATGTACTGTATGTATAGAGAATGTAATGAGTGTAGATAAAAAAAGATCCCGTCTGATCTTAATGAAAGTGAAGCAACACAAGTGACTTGGTCAGAATGGAACATTGTAAGACAAAATAATTATATATAAAACAATAAAAGTAAATGAGCAGGGAACAAATCAAACACTTTCAGAAGAAATCAATAAAGATGTAAGAAGAGCTTGCAGACATATTTTCAATATCAGGCATCGCTATCAATCTCTAAAATATTTTAGGGAAATACTACTTATATTAAGACAAGATGAAATATGTATTCATGTTGATTTCTCTGAAAATTACTGTTTCAATTATGCAGATGAAATTCAAGCAATGCACCTTGGAGCGACTAGGAGACAAATAAGCTTTAAAAACACACTGATAAAGATGTTGTTACGTTCTGCAATGTGTCTGGCAGTTTAAACATGGACAGGGAGCAATTTGGGCACATTTAGATCCGGTTTTAAAATACATAACCACAAATAGAAATTTAACGGCGGTGCATTTCATAAGCGGTGACCCAACATCATAACTTACCGAAATAAACGATTTTTTCTCTTTGGAGCACACATTTGAAAACGTATGCGTTTTTGAAGTCTACAAGGAACTTCTAAGAGGCATCACACGGAAAAGGTATGGCAGACGGCATAGATGCCGCTATAAAAGGGCAGAATGCCAACATATGATTGTCAAGAGGCGGCAGTAAGATCA